GGATATGCAACTGAACCAAGACGGATTGTTGTAGGTTTAAAGTGCAGTTTGCAAATACCACAATACCACAAAAGATCGAACTAGCATAGTCAAATCGTCCTCTTCGTACTCAACAGACTTGACGCTTGTTGCTAATGCCCACTAAATTGAAACAGAAAATGGACTACCAGGCACTACGTATCCAAGCGAGGTTTTTTGCAAAATAAGCACATTTTGGGCTAAACACATATCAACTAGGAGAACAGAAAATGACCAATCAAAATGTGTATACGGCTGGGGTTGTTGTGTAACATGGCCTATGTTAGCGATCTTGAGAACATTGAAAGATACGGGCGAACTAGGTCTTCCGAACATGAAGGAAACGATAATTTGATACACAACATCATGCATATGAGATTTCTTTTTATACCGAAAATCCATAATAAAAAGTCTAATTTCAATGTTCTTATTGCATATAACGCGATCCCACAGTATAATAATGAAGTCAATAACCTATCGTGGATTTATTATACCTCCAAAGTTTTTAGCAAATATTATTTTAATATTATTTTATCCTACAAAGCAATAGTGGATTCATCATCTACGTTGAGCAGACACATTTCCAATGTTCTTAAAATATAATGTTTGGCGCGATTCCTCCACGCGATAATGAATTCAATAAGCACTACAGCTGATCTGGTATACAAATTAATGCTTAGTGCTTTCTCAGGAAACAATAATGAGTATAACAAGCACAACAAGGGATGCGATATAACTTTTTATGAAAATTTTTCCTGTATTGCGTTTCATGTTACGGATGAAAATTTTTTATTACCTTTTGTAGGCTGTCCAAGTTTGCTCATGTTCAACTCAATCAGCTCCTTTACTGAAATTGACACGCACTAAATCCAAAATTTAATATAATTTTAATATAATTGCATCATGCGTTCATTGCAAGAAATTATTTATTTCTCATATATTGCTATACGCAAAAATCTATCAATTTTGAATCGTTTCTTCTACATTTTGTATCTAGTTCTAGTTCTATTGAAATCGCCGTTATTCTCGTTATCTGCCTTCGGTTGATTTTGCGTAGCACATGTGTCGCCTGTTTGGCAATTTGTTTTTTATTTTCGCCCAAGACGAATATCTGATACTCGACATAATGATTCAATTTGCGCGTTTTCTCAACTTGAGATCGAAATTTGGTGTTTACATATATCTCACAGTATTTTGAATGCATTTACGAAACGTCGAAAAATTTAGAAACTTTAACCCACCGCTAATCGATTTTCCATTATTAAGCCTATTGTGAACTGTTCAAACGAAATGGATTTTCAATGACATTAAAAAGAAAGTACAACATTCCGAAGTTTACTTAAAAAAAAAAAAAAGAAAAAAAAAAACATTTTAATTAACGCAAACATCGCCCTAATTGGTTAGGTAATAACAATGCGTATACGTTCATGTATTTTTATTATATTTTGAAAAAAAATTATAAAATATTTAACCTTATCTTCATACGAGATCTATCATAGGAAATTAATATGAAATGTACATAAGCAAATAGGATTTTTTTGCTACAGCTCATGTAATTATTTTTGTTGTTGTTGTTTTTTTTTTTTTAATGTAATTAATAAACACTTAAATATGTATAATATATGCCTCAGCTAAGTATACACACAATCTATCAATTGCACTTACACAGAAAATTTATTAGTTTTTCGTTTTTTTTTTTGTTCACCACCAAAAAACGATGGTGTACCACAATTGCCATACCGTGTGTAACATTCACAAGCACGCAACAGAGGGCTTATTAATTGCATACGTTTCTAATTAATGCAACGCATTTCTACTGTCGTTCTGTTGATTCTGCAATTGACAGTTAGAGGTGTGGTTTCAACGATCTCATAATGCAATGTTGACCAGCAGTATTGGAGAGTCATTACTGCTAACAACATGTAGCTTATCAGATAAAATGTTCACAGCGTTGTTCCCAAGAGAAGGCTTTGGAGTCGCGTAATACTGACAACATCGCTCTTAACATGCCATACTATATCGTGTGTTAAAGATTATAGCCCATAGATGGCTAAGAAATATGCGCATTGTGATTGTGTTAATTCGGCCGGAAGTGGAATTCGCTTTATTTTATAATGTCATTTTGGCCAAGAATATAGCACTGTGCAGACTTGTGAAAAAATCTGTGGTGTTTATAGTGAAGGTCGAATCCAGCAAACCAGCACCCGAGTAAGGGATCATAGCCTGCTCTTTTCAAATGATTTCAAATTGTCATGTGATTGATGTTTAGTGCCTCCGCTTTTTTCTGACAGCCTGCTGCCGGTCGTGCTCTATCAGTTGAAGAATTTCATCGACCTTTTCAGTGACGGCGAGATGCATCTTTGACATCGAAATTTCCGGAACGAATCGACCAAACCAATAGTGGGTCCTTCGTTCACTCACAGCATTCTCACCGCCCAATTCGTAAAATTTTTTTTCTTGCAGCACTTTTAAGTTTGTTACAGTGAGAAAGCATCACATAGCCTATTTCTTCAGTTGTTTCACTCATTTTCACGTCAATGTAACTTTTTACATCGAGCAAAGAATTAGCAAACTATCTTCCCAAAAAATCGAAGCTGAACTGTCACCTTTTAAGCACATCTTTTGCGAGAATTAGGTGAGTGGTGCGGAAAACGCCGAGGAGAATTTTCAATATAACGTAACAATTTGCTTGCTTACTCTCTGGTTTGGTCGATCAGTCGTTTTTAATTATCGATGCAATGCTCCAAAAAATTGCTCGGAAAGAAGTTTGATAATTTATTCAACCATACCATTAAGCATATACCATTAAGAATAATGGTTTTACCGGAAAAATGCTAAAAAGTTACCGACCAAAATGGTACATAAATTGAATCAATAAAGTTAATTTTAAATATAAGAGAGTTTTCTTGGAATTTTCATGAAACGCGCCACGACTTGTTTCTTTCCCCATTATTTACATGGGTTCTTTTTCAACCTTTGTTTATATTCGGAGCATCTTGAACGAAGTTAATAATTCAATTTAACAACATCTGCCTGTTCATTCACCTGTATTTCTGTCCACTATACAATATTTTCGGTTGTAATAATTTAGATCGAAATTGACAATTGCGATGATATGGATAATTAAGGCGATTTGAATGGGAAAAATGGGGAGGTTCGTATGTCTAAGAGTCGATCTGAACTAAATAATGTTTTAAACTTTTTTTGAATCGGTATTATCGAAGCCGATTATTTTCATTTATATTTTCGCAATCTATTGTTAATGTTTACATAACTTGGAGTTTACTTATTTAGTCGAGAATTTATTTAATTTTCAAATTCCTGCTATTTATTTTAAATAGAAAAGTAAGAATCTTAGGCAAACCGTATTGCATAGTAGGTAACACCAGCTTAGACTACCACGTTTGTCAGAGGGGGCTTGTTTCTCACATTATAGTTGAACCACATATTCGATAATGACAGCTTTGGATCATAGTGCGGTAACAGTACCGCGTAGTCTTTTTTCAAGGCTAACTAAGTGAAACACTTTAGAGTAGTCATTGGTTCTAAGTTTTGAATGCGAATCATTTCAAGGGCGTTAATCTAAGTTTAGTTATATATTAGGTGCTACTACTTGTAAGTAAATTGAGAAATTTGGAAGGAGCTTATGTAATCGATAATGTATTTATTGAAGTGTCGATATGAAGTCGATAACACGCGATATAAGCTACACAAGGAGAATATTTCCTACTTTCAAGTCGATATTTATTCGACTAATTAACTTAAAAAGAGAAAAATTGATTTAAGTAATTGTAAACTTACTTGTGTTCGACATAGTTTACCTAATTTTTAGTTTCTACATGGAGAAACGAAGTAAATTCTATAGAAGCGTATAATAACATTGCAAATAGCAAAGGAAATATTTTATTCTTGGAGCAGCTGGACTTGTTTGCTTATATTGACGGATTTGAGTACTTTTCGACATTAGATCACGCGGAAGCATAAGAACATGTGTAGGACTACTAGCATTAAATTTTAATTGAAATGCATTGATGCCAGAAACATAATTTCGATAGATCGGTGGACTCCGTTCACTATTTTATATTTTTTATTATAATATATTGACACAACTTATACGGCCTTGCGGATTTCTGCTATGTAATGGAACAATAATACCGAATTGTGCGAAGCGTCGTATTCGAAATATGTTCGCAGCAACAGATGCCGGCAAAAATGTTCTTCGTCTTGACATACAACTCTATAGCGCATGTCAGTCAACCAAACGAAAAACGTAGGCTTTCGAATTATTCACAGCATTGTGCGTGCAGTGTCAAAGACTGGGGAATATTCTATCGTTGTGATCACGGTCCGTTGTGCACATTAATGTCGTATTTTACTCATTCGTTATTAATCGTTTTAAGAGGGAGTCATAAGTAGATATGGTAGCGAATTTTTGTTAACTGAACAGATTACCTAACATCTACATCTGGAAGTCTTTCGTGGTCAGCCTTTTCTGGAAGGCATTAACGTAAAGAATACTTACCATGACGTATGAGATTTTCATTTGCACTTAGCTATCTTTAGAAAGTAAATCATTAGTTTCATAGGAGCGATATAGTTAAAAAGAAAAAAGTTCATTTGCTGTTACTTTACTGCATTTGCTAATACATTGCAGTCGTTGTAAAGCTAATATATGCTTCACTATAATGGACAATGAATGAATAAAAAAAACATATATACCTTTATGTGATTTCTACTGGGATTAGCTAAAACTTTGTGGCGACCATATTTATTCATTTTCAATTTATTTAATATTTTATTTATGCGTTAATTTCAACTTTTCAACTAAGTAAAAGTTAATCTTTCGTTTGCTTTCCGTTTTGGTTTTTTAAAATAATAGTTGTTAAATGTTAAATTTTTTAATTATTCCTTAAATGCCGCAGTTCATAAAAAGATTAATTAGTACAAAAAAATTGTTTTTGGCTCCTTTTTCAAACAGCAAATACAAACATCACAAAAATTCGCCATAATGAATGAATTGCAAACACAAACGTCGACAGAAATTCAATTTGAACAACACATAAAGGATTATGCAACAACGTTAAAAACGGTTACAATAACACCAGCTATGACACTGTCGAATAATAGTGCTGCACTAACAACGATGACGACAGCACCGACAACGCCGGTAGCAGTATCAATAATGGATAATCAAAAAATTATCGTTGCAAGCCAAGGTAAGTGCAGACGCGCCAATAAAACCATGCATAAAATAAGTGAGAGACAGTTACAGCAACAATAGTAATGCTAATGAAATAAGCTTTAAAGTAAATGGAAATGTATGGAAAGTTTGGTTTTCTCTTGAAGTTGCATCACTATTTATTTATTTATGTGGGTAAACCGTACGCCCATTTTAAACCGATTGCGTGGAATTGAACGCAGTCTACAGCATAATATATATTCAAAATTTTGATTTCTTTTCTCAACTATTGGAACTCTGCAATGATCGATACATCCTTTTACTTATATATTTTCAATCACGCTGTTTGATCGATTTCGGTAAGAATTTTTCACGCAATGAATTGCTTCGTTAAGGGTTAGAGTCAAGGGAAATTATTTCTCTTTTTCATGTTCATCGAAATAAACAGGATTGATTTTTTTGTTTTTACACATTGGAATCACTTGGGGCTGTATGATCACCAAAGCGTGATCTTATCGACGGCAGACAATAGATGAAAGTGAATGAACACGAAGCAAAGAAACGATCTATTCGCTCTTCTGAAATAAAATATTTTTCTTTTTCTGCGAGTTAGTAAAACAACAACAGATGACTTGCTGAGTTGAGTAAAAAGACGCTCAATGTGAACCCGAAGTTCTTCGTTCGGACCTTAATAAAGTTGATATAAATGTATGCAAATGTACACATATACTATGCGTGTTACGACATTCGCCATGTAACTTAAACTTTTTTCATCTTTCCCGAATTTCTATTAATTTCCTTGTTTTACTTTGTTCGTGGTGAAATATGTTGGGATTTTTTCTACTTCAAATGATTACAAGATAATTGAGCGCAGAGCTCATTTCGTAGTGTGAGAAGTCATGGAGAGCAGGTGTGCGGAAGTGCCTTATAAAAGAGCTAAAAAGTTGCCAAGTTCACAGAGTATCTGAAGGAGTAGATTCATAGCTTGGCTGTGAATATTTATATGTGTTGTTGACAAGCTTCAAAAAAAGAGAATATAGCGGCGTAAGGTGCCAAATTTCGTGAATGCAAGCTGTCAAAAATTGTGCGATCATGGAGACCACATATAGATAGTTTGCGAAGCGTAAAAACACGAACAGCAGTGGCTGCTGACTATGGTAGTTTTGAAGACATGCTCATTGAATCTCGTGTAGCCAAACATCTCAAGGGGTATGCTCATAAGGTAAATAATGTCCCGTTTTTTTGGATACATAAAGAGTCTAAGTGACGAGCATGAATTGAGTTATTCTAGCTGTTGCCAAGAAAAGACTAGTACTTCTTGTGGATTGCCCTAACCTGCTATATTGGCTGCAGCAAGGCACCCAGAGAAAATGGGAGAATTTCTTTTGCTATTAAGTACTCGCTAAGCAGATGGCTTAGAGGATCGCAAGACATTCAGTCGAAAATACAGAGCTGCATAAGAGATTTGAAAAATAAGCTTTGATACTAATATTTGGGAGTCAAAGGCCGCGGCTTCTAATGACAGATTTAGATCCATTAGTAAAGATTGTTGAGAAATTTTTATATATAGCGTTAACCAAGATCGAGTAACGGCGTTATGCTTCTGCAAGAGTAACTGGCGATTTTTTACAGGCAGAAATTTTATTACTCGCTGACACTACTGTGACGCAAAAGGATTTTTGAATAAGTTATGCACATCAATTCTTAGAATATTGTAATTATTGAGTTTGTCAACAACAATTTCAAAAAAGGAACGAGAACAGTTGCATGACAGAAAGTCATGAATGAAGGGTAATGTCGGATCATTCTGTTTGGATAAAATTTTATTGGAAATAAAATTGGCGAGTAAACGAAATCTTTTATGTAGGGACGTAACATTTGCCTTCTGTTCTAAGCTTAGTGTGCAAGTGAATCTCATGGCACTAAGAGCAAGGCGAAGCCAGTTCCACTGAATTTTGGATAACTTCAGAACATCATAGATGAAATGTCCAACAAGACCGAGAGAGCGTGTTCTAATTTTGGTTTTATAGCCCAGGATATAGTTTATCTATACACGGAGGGTCGAAATGCCACAAACGAATTTGAGGATGTTAGTTAGGTGCAAACTTTGTTTGATAATTTTGTCAATGTGAGTAGCAGAAAAGAGTTTTGAATGTAAAGCCTAAAAGACTAAAGCCCAAAGTCTAAAAGGTCAAAGGTCTTGACAGATGGTGTATTGGAACCATAAATGAGCAGTGGAGTAACAATATGGTCTGTCCTTTTTTTTTTGAAAAAACTACGCCCTTAGTCTTAGTAACTGGAGACTCAAAGCGAGAGGAGATAATATCAACGGCGGACTGCAAAGTATCTGTGCATCAGAGTGAGAACTGAAAATGACCAGATCGTCAGCATAGCCCAAAACTGGAACATTCTCAGCAAGGAATAATAAAAAACCTTGAAGGAATACCTGTGAAAGATCTCCTATGTACGACGACCTCATCGCTCTTAACTAACTGGTTTTTATAAAGAAGAAAGTCATATGATACGTTACAGAAGGTGCTAGGGAAGAAGGTAAATGGACTTTAAGATGTTAAGCTAAAGGAATCAAAAACTAATGTTATGCCCAGAAAGCAGGTAATGGAAATGTGATCCTCTTCTGTCCTGATAGTTTGTTTTGTGTTAGATTGAAAGGGGAGAAAAATGGTGCAGGGCTGCCATCCGTTTAAATATAAGATATTTCTATATCGACGTTGAAAGTGTTAATCTTCTCTTATTGCCCTAAGTCCCTTTTTCTGATCCATTTTATATAACTATTATGATAAATTCAATTATCTACCGTTATTAAGAAAAACATTCTTTTTTTGCTTACAGATATATTCTCAATTAGGTTACTATTGCTTGTTAATGTTGGTGGAAATTTTTTATATATTTAATTCATTTTCCTATACTTATCTCTGTAGGGGAAAAACTACTGAAATTTTTTCATTTTCTCACTGTTAAGATCGTTCTACTAATTTTAACCCCAGCTATTTTCTCATTGCTCCATGAACAAAAACGGTGAAAAAAGAGGGAAAGTCATGACAACTGGGCAAGAAAGCTATATTCGGACTTGGGCTGATGTTAGTTACGCAGGACTTGTAATGAAGCTGCAAATATCGTAATATATTTTTGTAAAGCGATGGCTTCGCAAGCAGGTAATGCCTACTAAATTTACAAAATGTGCAAAAGACATGTTAAGAAGAAAGATTACTCCACCAGCTTAAAAGAACGTTTTATTACACTTTTGTTTTGGAGGGATGAAAAGATAGAAAATTAAGTATATTCGAAGTTGTTATTATTATACTATTATAAAAAAAATTTTCACTTTCATATAAATTGGCTACTCCGACACCATTCTCATTTTAGCTGAGGTGAGTGCCTGAGAAACACCTGATGTAATCAGACTTGTCCAGGCCTGACAGGCATCTCTTTCAAATAGTTTCGAAATTATGTTATGTTTTTATTTTTAATTGTTTACACCTGCTGTCCATTAAGTTAGTGCAACGTTGGCGCACTAGCCAATATCAAAACTTGTAAGTTTCGTTTTCTCTTACGTTATCTAATAACGAACATTGACAAAACGTTTCAAAGAATTTATGACAGATTTTAGGCTATCATTGGCACCGAGTAACGAAGCCGAGTTGATTAAATAGTTAAGGTACATATAAAGTTGCTGAAATGCGCTTAATCAACGGATCGTAGACTTGCTATTTACGCACTTTTACGTTAACTAGCTTCACAGCATCTTCTAAAATGATTTTATGTATTTTTCCAAAAATTATGCTGTTTCATAGAGGTATCGCAATTAAAACAAAGCGCAACGTGTTTTTTACGCAATCGTAAAAAAAAAGAAGATCTATAGCATTTTCCAGAATAACTTTGACATCTTTCTTTAAGTTTTCTCTTAAGGCGAAAATCGATTCAAATCGCTTTAGTGAGAATGGGCCTTGTCAGCTGCTTGCTCAGTGATGTTATTTCCGCGCAAGAGTGTCTTCTATGATAATTTAGTTGATAACTTCGTACATTGTCTGTTAAAAAGAAAGAAAGGGAGAAAACAAATACATATATAATTGTTATAATTCTTTTCTTGTCCTCAAGAATTAAATAACTTTTGTATTAAGTCACATATTTTATCTCAAGAGAAAAATTGTGTCATTATATTCGTGAGTTTGCTACGGGCCGGAAGCCTTGCACTAAAATCAAACGCAAATAATATGTTCGCCGACATTAAATTAATACTTTTGAATAAAACTAATCTAATTTTGTTAAAGTTTTCTTTACTAAATGATCTTAGAAGCCAGCAAAAACCAGGCGAGCGTTCAAGAATATTAAGACTCTTCGATTCCTTTGCTCATCACTCATATTCCTGGTGATGTCGAGATCATGATTTTTTAAATAAATGTACTTTAGATGACGGATCTAGGTACAAAAACGAGCAAAACAGCGATTTGGTAAAAAAAATGAAATACAATCTCTGAAACTCTTTCACTAAAAGACTGAACCATATGTTACCCTATCGTTTTGATACTTGTAGGAATGACCGTGCAGGATAGTAAAATCGGATAACTGTATTGAACGACTAAACTTAGAAATAAAAGAATGGTTTATACTAATTTATAGTTACGCAAAGTAAGTAACGGATGATGGCGAATAATAAATAAGAGATATCCGAGAAAAAGAACAATGAGAAGATGATATCTTAACCGCTCTTGGTGCATAATCAATGGGCGAAATGTAATCATTCGTAGATAGCACATAGGCATTTATTACTTTATCTATAACAAAAAAAAAATAAAGTCTTTTCAGGCCCTTGTAAATGTCATAGACCCTATGCAAACAAACTTGGCTTACGCTTTGCACGCTATGCCTTCTATATGCCAAAATCAAAATTGTCGAAAAAAGAACATCAAAAAGAGCGATTTTTACTTCACAGGTCTTCACTTCTAAATCATTCATATTCATTATTCTCTCGTAGCAATTATGTTACAAACTATATTGAAAAAAAACAAAAAATAAAAT